GGCATGTAGCCCCCTCCGTAGGCGCAGCACCAGAGCCTTGTTGTCCAAGAAAACACAGGCGGGCACGTCCGCATGCCGAAGGTGGCGCAAGAGCTGCCAGAGTGCCTCTCGCTCAGCCGCAGCGGGTGTCTGCTCAAACGTAGAAACCAGGCCGCCCACAACCACAGAGCCATTGCTGGTAGCAGCCGCAATGGCCCAGGCCGCACGCTGCCAATGATCAAGTTTCGGGCGCGTAAAAGCCCCACCATCCGTAGCACAAACAACGGGTCCGTCGGCCGCGGCTCGCCGGAGCTCCGAGACCAGCTCGTAGTCCAAGTCAAGGGCCTGGGGCGGACGTTGCAGAGGCAAAGGTAGAAGCTTACACAGAAGTCGTCTCTCAAGTTGTGAGCCCAGCGGGCGCGTCCACCCGACCGCAGCACAGTCAAAAGTGAGGTGGGTCCGTGTAGGCACCGGCTCACCACACGCACAGGTCAAGTGCACGGCAGCCGGAGGCTTCTTGAGCCGAAGCAAAGCAGGAGCATCCACCGCGCAAGCAGTGGAAGTACGCAGGCCGCGGGCACCCATGGTCTCGACCTTGCGCTGGAGCGGCTCAAAGCACGGGGTGCTAAGCGCGAGGTCGAAAGGTGCGCTTTTAGCATCCTCCTTCCAGAGTCGTTGTAAAAAGGCGTAGTCAGCTGCACGACGCAATGCGCACAGTCCATCCCAGCCAGGCTTGAGCACGCCCAGAGGGGTCCTCCAGGAACCATCGGCCTGACAGGTCCAGCCCCACTTCTTAAGGACAGCAGGCCAACGAGGGACGATGGCAGGCCGAGTCAGTTCCACAGCAGGCTGCCTGGAGCAGCGATACCACTCCTGGCGGGCCACCGCAAAGTCCATAGCATGCTCAGGGTGGAGGTGCGGCCTGCCGGTCACATGCCACAAGAGAAGTCTGGAGCGGCTGGGCGCAGGAGGGCGGCCCCACAAAGCAAAAGCAACGTTCCGAGTCCAAGCCTGAACGTGAGTAACCTTGAACTGGCTCCATGGCGCACACCAAGCGAAGAGTGGGAGCACCAGCTGCCGCACGAGAGCACGGCGCAAGGCCATCCCCCGCGCCGCAAAGCCAATGCGTTGACAGCGAGAGGCCACAACAGCAGAGAGCTTGGACGCCTCAGGCAAGCAGGTGAGCCCTACAGCGTAGTGCACCCCCAACAGCACAAAGTGCGGCCGGAGGGGCCCAAGCCACTGAGCGTTCGCCACCAGAAAACTTTTGGTGAGCGTGCCCGTGCCAAAACAAGCAAGCTTCTCGGGATGGTGCCGCAGTCCGAAGAACCGATCAACCGGATCGCCAGCCTGAGCAGCTGCAAGTACAAGAGGGCCAGGTTGGCGGCCGACTGACCAAACGGTCCGGTCATCCAAGTAGGTGGCAA